AGTACAAACATTAGCTTCAACACCGGGAAGGCCCGCGATGAAGCCCAGGACACCGGTATTGATAGTAATGCTTACCAAGGCGATTACGAAAGTTGAAGGACATTAGACATAGCCCCTTATTAGGTACTTACCTACTCAGTAGGTATGCCGTCACTATCATATCCGAGCTCTCAACTCAGAATCTGCTCACATATAACGCAACAACCGTACGCAAATACGGAAAAATATAACGTGGTCAATGACTAGGCATCAAGTTAGATTTCTGGCCAACCTTCAAGTATAGATCGTTCCACTTACTGATTAGTTGGTGCAGAGAGCTTTGTTTATGGGATGGGATGGGATGATGAGGTACAAGGGGAAGGAAACAGTGGCCTGTGTATACCCACGTATCCTAGTCATGCGTACTTGATCATGTATCGCCGAATTCATTGCCTCCATTGTTTGTTATCTTCCGACACGCTGCCAAGTAAGAAGAAGTGCCGATATTGCGCCAAATACTGCTCCATAGCAGAACACCACGACCCGACTATCCGGGGGGGGGGGCGTTTCTTTTTTTGAAGACACAAGACCGAGATACTGAAGGGTTATGATGGCTACCGTGCGAGCACAAACTTTGCAAATTTACCCGTGGCGGCCATGTTACTCCATGTCGATAAACCATCAAAAGCACCATCTGCCGACATGTTTGGCGCCCTCCAGAACTACTATGAAAACCCGTTTTTGCTCAAGTATACCCTCTGGATGTTTATATTAATGTAAGCACTACGACGGGAAAGGAATACGCTATTTCTGAAGCGGACGAAAAAAGGCTAATGGCCGAAATGGCGCTAGTACATGCCCGAAAGATGCGGGGAAATTTATCGACCCTCGTGGCTGACTCTGGCGGAACTGAAATAGCCGGACAACACCAAACCACCAAAAGTAGCCACTTTGAACGCTAAATATCAGCACAACAGCAACGTTTAAATACATATGTATAATATACAAAATAAAGCCGTATACGAGTTTAATAGATGTCTAAGTTTTTAGAGAGTTAGACCTTATGTACAAAGGTACAGCTGCGTGTTGAGTTGATCAAGTGGTAAAACGCTAAGAAACTAGCCCTTTTGCTTGCCTGAGATGTCCGGCCATTTCGGCTCCGCGAGAGCCGAGTATGCGGAGGGCGTCTAGATGCGCGGCTTGTCCTAGTTCCCGTTGCCATTTACTTACGAGACCCTGGAGATAACACCACCGGGATCAACTCATGACGTAGTAAGTAGGCGAATCGAATGTCAGCGGTCCATGGTGTCCCATCACGTGCCAGCAGTTTTGGTATTCAAGATGGTTGGTCTGCCAAGAACGCCGTTGATAGTCCATTAATTTGTTCTTGACAAACAACAAAAGTGCATTACTTGTAAACTATATCAACTGAATGCCGTAAGATCATCCACTGGCGTTGATATCTTATGACCTGGCCGACGTTGCTTACTTTGACTCCTGCACTTGTCGCAGCACCTTAAAAAAGACTTTCGTGTGTTCAAACATGATGACCTGCAGTCTTATCCAAGTTGCTGATCTGAGAACCTGCCGTTGCAGCAATGAACGTTGTCAAACAGAATGCAGAAATCGGCGTGGATGGTGGAGCAAAGAGTAGTCCATTTGTCTTGGTACAAGGTGCCCAATTCTTTATGTTTTGTTCCCCCAACTGTGGATGCGTCGCCTAACCTGGTCAGGCGCTCAGAGCTTCGATCCCCCACATCTTGATCGCCTACATGTTCCTTGCATAAAGATCCAGGTGGAGCCTCATCCCCACTACATTGGCTGATCACGCGTGTAGTTAGTGTACCTCCCTCTACGTAAGTGTGTAGTTCAGCATTGGTACAAGCCGCGCACAGAGATGAAGCGATGACGCAAATGGCTGTGCAACATTTCACCTGAAACAGGCACAACTCCGTTCTGACACTTGGCTAGCGAACGGTATTATTTCGGACGGGACAGAGAAACATTGGACACCCAACCGTGTGGCTATGTCAATTAACTACTGGCGGGCCAGATTTTAAGTTTGATTGCTGCAGCCTTCTCAACTGCCGAACCGTTTCCCCTACTGCATGTCATCATGCTCGTGTTCGAACGCGGTCTGGAATTTTGCCTGACTGAAGCGCAGTTTTGTCGGTCGATCTGATGCACGAATCAACGAGTACTACGTGGATATTCTACAAGCCTAAATATGACGAGGAGCGAGTCTTTTGTTTAGAGTTCGCGGTCATCAGCAACAGATTGCCAGGATGGTACGCGTAGGATAGTCGGCACCAGCAAGCCCAACGGAACCCAGCATGGTGGGGTGGGTGCGCAATCTGCCAGAGATGATTTCAACAGGCATGTCTTCTCTGCTGTATCCCAACTACCTGGTCTTTGTGTTGGAGATTACAGGATCAAGGTGTCACGTCCGGTACGATGGTTTGTCAATTAGGAACAAACGTTGAAAAGCGCGAGATGTTTTGCAGAGTTTCAAATCGATACAGCACCAATCCTTTTGTTGACTCGCCTCTAAATATACCAGTGCATGATGCAGTGCCCAACTCACTATCGGAAAACGCTCTCCATCCCAAAGCACCCTGTATCAAGGCTTCCACCCTCCGGTTCGTGTGCGGAACAAGCCTTCTGGGTCCACGGCATCCGCAACCCTCTTCGCCAGCGCACGACTCTCGGGCCTCAACCTGCCAAAATAATCTTGGCGATAGAATCCATAATTCATAAATACAGGTAAATAAGCATCTGGCAACTTCCCATCTGCTTGCCATGCCAACACTCTATTACGAATGCCCGTGTACGTGGCTTCCATAGAGTCAGCCATGCTGTCGTACAGCGTTTTGGGTGTAAAGGCGTAATTCATCTCGATAATAATACGGTCAACGCTTTCGTCGGCATCAATCAGGTCAGGACTAAGTTCTCGAGCCTTTTGCGCGATGCGTTTGGGAAAAGGCTGCCATGCGATGGATGCGACTATGCCTGGCACCAGCAGCGTTGTTTCGGAGATGTTGCGCCAATGGTTATGAAGACCCTCCATGATCTCGACTGCATTAGCGCGAGAAGGAACGGGTATGGTTTCAGTGGCGATATCAACAACACTGCCCTTGAGTACAACCCAATTACTAAACGCCATCAAGTCGGCATATGTTCGTGTACGTGTTGTGTCAAGAAGAGGGTTGACATCGGTGAAATTCTTGAAGAGTCCCGGTGGTGGTGTCGCGCCGTCGTAGAATAAGAATATAATCCATGAGTCGACAATGTTGATATTGGTACGCTCAGCAGTAACAATGACAGCTGCTTTATCATCCTCGTTGTACTCGGTCCAATCACGTACAGCTTGTAGTAGCTCTGCGTCCTTCTTCGGCGTGCGTAAGTAAACAAGATTGCCACCCCACACATTTCCCTGACGGCGGGCTTGTAACTTATAATTTGTTACGACTCCAAAGTTGTTGCCGCCTCCTTTAAGTGCGACGAACAGATCGGAGTGGTTGTCTTTCCTGATATGACCAATCGTGCCGTTTGCAAACACAATTTCGTACTCTAGAACACTTGAAGCAGCCCATCCATATTGTGTTGACATGTAGCTGAGGCCCCCGCCAAGGACCAAACCACCAACTCCAGTGTTGCCAATTCGTCCACCAACAAACGTCCACCCAGAGCCTTGTAACTTGGCAGAAATACTGTCTAGCCGATTGCCGGGACCTACGTCAGCAACACCAGTGCTGCTATCCAAAACAGCCTGATCAAGACGATCCATGGAGATTAGGGGTCCTCCAGCAACACTGCTCCAGCCGTTGTTCGGGTTGTGCCCTCCAGACTTGACGGCGAAAGGCTCCGTCGTGTTAGCAAGCACCTTCATCACTGTCGAGACCTCTTCCACCGTCTTGGGGAAAATGATGCACGACGGGAGAAGAGCCGAGCATGATGTCGACCAGTATTGCGTTTGCTCTTCAATGTAAGCTAGGTCGAGAGAGTATTTGACATCGATACCCCCAAGATTCGCAATGGTAGAACAGGTATCGGCGCGAACAAAGAATGGTAACAAAAGAGTGCAAGAAACGTATGCTATGTATAACAACATTTTTTTTACAGAAGTAGTGATCCTATTCAGTTTGTCGTTACTGCTTCATATCTCACGATGGCCTTATAACGCTCTGGGGCTGTCATGACTCAATGACATCGGCCAAACTTCGTCATGATGAGCCATGCTGCAAGCGACCCTCCTACGTCAATGGCAACACAGATAGTAGCCTATGGTGGACGTGAAGATCATGAGACAAGCTGTGTAGAATTCAAGCGACTAAGTTAGTAGATCCCGATCATCGTGGCTGCCATGAGGTTTCTTCATCATCGAGTTTTGGTGAACGTGTAGCTGCAGCAGTTCATTGAATGTGGCTTGGAACTAAATTGAATGACTTGTATTGTATAGTGGTCCCAATATTTCTGGGTAGTGGGAAACTATCCTCACTTCGTCGCAATTCCAGTCATCACTCCTCCTATTGGCAGAACTTGGGTACTACCATATCGTGAGATTGATCAGGTGCACTAATCTTAGATGTCTTTGCAGAATATCGAAGCCCGCGCGACAGTATTCGAAGCAGGTTTTCGTATTCGTAAGAAGTTGAAAAAGCCGAAGGTAGCAGGGGCTGAAAGCCTGAAATCGGTTGCCGGTAGGCAGATCTGGATTGGAAAGAAAAAAGAGCAAAAAGAGATAGCCAAGGGTCGCATGAGATGTCTAGTTGTCTTGGTATTCTGCATTTGCAATGTTGCTCCACCGGCTTAATATGTGTTGGCTCGCTTGGCTGCAGACGCTCATAAGAAATGGGTATACCCGCTGCAGGTGTCTGCAGAAATACGAGGAGCTGAACACGGAGTCGCATGTTCCTGAGCCTGCAACGGTTAGCGTAGTTTTTGCTCCCAGAAATCGGTGACTTATGTGAAAAAGAATGGCTGTCCCGAAAGACAGCCAAATGAACCACCCACAATGCCCCTCACCACGCACTTCTATTTCCACGCCAATAGCTATGCTGAGTGTCGCCTTGAGGGGTGTATCGATGCTCTATCCCATGCAGAAACTTGACGAGATCGCGAAAGACAATGACAGGATGACCAGAAAGCAAAGTCGGTAGAACGAAGGGGCCTGCAAGGCCGCTCCAGGCTACAGGGACGGACAGGTCTAGACCTTGAGCCTCACTCTTGAGAGGTCCCGTCTCTGAAGTCCGACATGAGGAGTGATGCAATGTGGCTTCCGGTGTTCCGCCGCTTTGCTGTAACCAGTTTACATTCTCTTCGCTTAGTCGCCGTGAGGTCAGTCTCATGACACACAACGGAATTCGATATACACCCCAAGAAACAAAACTCGCAAGAGCCACGGCGCTTCCAGGGAAGCTGTCGTCACGTCTTCAAGGCTGCTTGGTTCGCCCTATTGCAGCAGGACCATCTTCCTCATGATTCAAAACTCGTCGGTCACAAGACCCTAATCGAACAGCACAACGGCCACGAAACTGCCTTCTGTTGACTCGATCTTCGCTGGTTGCTATGCCAGGAAGCTTCTCTCTGTTTGTAATTGCATGACTCTCGGAGACTAGTCTTTGTTGCCGCTTCGCTTCCATTCGACTGGTGACGAAAGGCATTATAGTACGGACAAAGGACATCCTCAAAAACCGCATTTTTGATCGTAACAGGCAAAAGCACTGTTCGGCCGAAAGGGTAAACGCTCGTCGATGCCCACACACGCTCAACGTGCATGTCGACGATTAACGCGACTGGTCAGATATCGCTGTGGAGCGACTAGTGTCTAGGGACTTGCATCGTGACACAGGCTCTGTGATGTTGCATACAAGGTGAGAGTGTAGAGAAATGATCGAGATTTTCATCCCTGTAGGAGAGATGCACGAACATCTTCATCGCTAAGCTCTCCTAGCCTGCTCGGTTCAAGTTATCGCACAGTGCAAGCGTTGCGAACCTGGCCCAACACCCGTACATCCATCAAACAATCAGACATGAGCTTCAAGACATCAGATCCGGAGCGGGGCAGTTCGCCATTGATGATGATATCTGCCTAAGACGCAGAGACCTCGCTGGGCTTTTGCCTTTCCGACGAGTGGATCTCAGCGCCGACCGAAGCCGAAAAAGGTTGATACATCTGTAGGTCAGGCTCGACGAAAGTCAAACTGCGCTCTTCTTCTGCCTATTCGCTATTTGCATGATGTGTGATGGACACGGTGTGATTGTCGGAGCCTGGCATGGCAACTTCGGTACGAGTCCTAGAAATGAGCAGCCCATGTACTAGCGGAATTCAAGAGCCCAGCGTCAGTCCCCAGCCGGGGTGACGGGCATCTCCCATCATTTCTCGTTCTTTTGCCATTGCTGTTTCATCGTGAAGCTATCTGTTACGACCAGAGTCTGTTGCACGGATGAGATGCCGACGTGGTTCTCAAATGAAAACTTTAACACCCCGACAGGCACATGTCATCTCATTTTGAGCTGTTCACTCCCGTACCTCGACTCTTCCTTTTGCGCCGAGCCTGACTAGTTCACAAGTGAGCTGTTTAGCAGGGGCTAACTGGAAGGTCGGCGACATGACCGCGATACTCCTCGTCCAGCACAAAGGTTGGAACGAATACCAATAGATGGATAGGGTTAAGATCCGAGCCTGCCTCCCTCACCCACAACCTCGATGCAAACAGCGAGGCGCGCAAGCCGACATGCAAGCAACCCATTGAGACCATGCTAAGAGGCTCGGGTGAGTGTCGATTGCACAAGTAGGTGAGGCGCGGACGAACCGTATTCCAGATGGAAGACAGGCGTCGGGAACTGTGGGGAAAGTGGCATGCGAGATACTTGTAAGTTGAGAGAAGAAACCGGATCAGAGAAGGGCGTTACGCGGCCGTCCCGCTATCATCGACATGGTCAGATCTGGTTGAAGAGCGCGTGTAAGAATCCAAGTCCGGTCATATTGCAAGAGAGTGTAACAGCCATTTAGTTCGAAGGCGGACACCGTGTAGTGATGGAGCAGTTGAGGTGTTGGTTGTTGGAATGGTTCCCCGCTGGACAAAGGGGAACGACGCGTTGCTCAATGCCAAGAGATCGCGTCAAAGCGGCGTCAGCACGTGACTATGCACTCTCTTTCCCTGACTAATCATTGCCCTCGTCGTTTAAGCCTGCTCATCAATCTTTGCATTGCAGTCACATACACTGAGCATTGCAGTCCAAGGTCAAAACAAAATAGGTATCCCGTGGCTTGAAGAAACATTTATCTGAACAAGGTTTTCGAAAATCAGACCCGGTGCCACAGGCGCAAGATTGCTTGCCTCCAATAAGTGGCGCTGGCAAGACAATCAGTCGACTCGAGGCGAAACCACTCACCATGGGAGTAATTGAGGACGCAGTAGATTCTGCTGCCAACTTCATCGGTCCATTCGTTGACAAAGGCCGCAAATTCAGTAGCGATGTGCCTAGCTCTTCGCTCATCCAACAATCTCTTCGCCACCTTCAAGCCATCAATGCTGCCGATCTAGTCGCAGACCCAAACGCCCCTTATGACGCGTCTCTTGCAGGAGTGGTATACGGTCTCCTGGATCTTATCATAATTCTTGCTGTTATACCACAGTTATCGCCAGGAGTAGCTTTTAGCCAACGACCACGCTCGGTCCTGACTTCGATTGTCACTGCATCACCTGACCACGATATGAATGCTTTGGCCGTCGTAATCGAAGGCATCATCCCGATTTTAGAGCAAAAGGGTTCTGGTATACAGCCACTTCTCTCCCAGCGGATCCTTCCAGATGTCGTATCCGCACTGGCTGAACTGTCCTTCTCGCCTTTTTCGCCTGAAGACACCAAGTCCAAGTTCTCGCCTATTTACAAAAAGATGATGATTGAGATTCCAACATCTCGACTTCTTCCAATGTTAACATCCTTTCTACAGCAACCTCTCCCCGAATGGCTAAAACCCATCATTTCAATGGAGCTGTCCATGATCCCGCTTCGGCAACAAGGCGTCCGACATACTATTGAGTTCCTAGCTCTCTCGTACCTTTCTAAGAACTCTCACATCCCCGAGGGCGCGTCAGGCCCACCATCTCAGATTCCCATTCCACTGGAAGCTATCACACAGGCGTCAAAGCTGCTTGTACTTCCGCCCAGCGGCATTACATCCAATGATTGGATAGAAAGACTTGCACCTCAGCTGCTCCATCTGTTGCACGGCTGCGAAGGAAAAGAATTGAGCCGAGCAGCAGGCCAAATCATCGCGGGTGGGATACTCAGCAAGAAGACGACCGGGGCACCAGGTACTATAGGGTGGAAGATCTTTGTGGAGCCTGTATTCCATGCAATCTCTCCAAAGCACACTCAAATTTCAGTTTCTGAAGACGGCAGGAGAACTGACATTGTCGTAAGAGAAGGTGATCTCAAACCGGCACTCCGCCAACTTAACAATATTACGTCTTCATATTCCCACGCCGGCCTGATCAAACGTCTTGTCACTCCGATGCTCCTCCCTCTATGGGCACTTCTCAATTATGCTAAACGCAGACCTTCACTTGACAAAGAGTGGGCAGAGCTGCCAAAATCGATCATATCACGATATGTAGAAACGGCCTGCGACGCAAAACAGATTGACAACATGACACGTCAAATCTTTTGGGACGGGGGCACTACATGGACCTTTGGACCTGGTTCTGAAGGCGGCGTTGAAATACGATGGCGCACAGAGGGCCTGTTTGAGAATAAGACAGCAGGCATGGAGGGAATTCTTGAGCAAATTGGCGACCTGGATAACCGGGTCAACCTGCTAGTTTCTCTGCTGTCTGAGGCGAGTGTCCCCGGAGATGTCGCAAGCTCTGTCTTTCTCAGTACAACGAAGCGGTGGCTAGAACCCATGAAGCCTGCAGTCAAGTCACTCACGGATGAAGATTTCATCGGCGATCCTCTCTCAGCATTGGTGGATGCGAAACTGTCTGAATCTCTGGCCAGGCAGTTTCAAGAGCATTTTGCGAGGAGCCCACAACACATTGTTGAACTTATGACACAACTGATCAAGAGTTTTGTCGAGGACCATAAGAAGTCTTTGTCCAGTGCAAGCAAGTCACTATTGTCACAACGCGCCATGCTTGGCAATATTGTGCAAAAGCAAGCTACAACAGGGGAGAAAAATGAAGAAGATGCTGTGAACGAGGACTTGGTTTCGTTTGCCCTGAGTATTTTGAACACAATGGTGGCGTCGCCCGATTTCCAGAAAACACCTTTGGTCAATGAAATGCTGCTTGCACTTTTGCCATCATTGGCATATCTCTCGGAATGTCGGAATCAAACGCAATCGACTATATCGTCCATGATTAGCAATTCTTCTACCAGTCTTTTCCAGCTCATCGCTCCCACCACTGCTAATTCTCCGTCCACTAGAACCGGACTTCCGACAAGTGTGCCCGTTGATCCCTTGGCAGAACATCGTGCTGCGTTAAGTACCTGCCTTGAGGAACTTCAGTCAACAGACCCGCCAAACCGTACCTGGGCTCTCAACACTATACGCTCGATGCTCAACAATCCAGTTGCGTTTCCAGTCATCGATATACCATCTCTTACACATATCTTGCTTTCATCTTCGTTGGCCGATGCCGAGTCATACGTCCATCTAGCGGCAATACCTGTTCTCGTCACATTAGCAGCGCGAGTACCGAAGCCTGTTGTAGGAATCCTGGTTGATGCATTCGTGGATGTCGATGAACGATCTTTGAAGCTCGCAAGGGGGAAGCATACAGAGGAGAAGGAAAGGGAGTTGAGGAATGCTTTAGACTTGAGACTACGGGTTGGTGAAGTCCTCAACACATTTGCGGGGAGTAATGCCTCGTGGAACTCGTATGCGAAAGATGGAACGATGTATAGGCACGCAAAACAAATTACAGAAGCATGCCTATTGTTGTCAGGCCGACGAGGGCAACGCATGCAGACGCTTTCGATGCGAAATGAGGTTGCAGACAGTGAGCGGAAGTTGAAGGAGGAAGGTGAGGTAGCCTGGGGTGGTCCGATACCAAATGTTTTTGAGCCTGATGGTGCAGACCCGCAAGAGCAAGCAGACTACACTGCTCTGCACAAGATTGTCAGTGGGTGGGAAAACACCGGAATCGAGGAAGATATTAGAATGCGCACTTCTGCACTCAGCGTTCTGTCGACGCTATTGGAGCACCGACTCGAGGTGCTGCAGCAGCCGTTGATCGATGCATCGCTGCAGATGGCATTGCTCATACTCGGGATGGAGAAAGGGGATGCAAAGGCTTTGCTGCGGCGTGCTGGTGTTCTTGTCATCATGGGATTATTACGCGGCATTGACGCGGCAATGGGAGCTGGAAAGGAGGATGTGGTCGCACTAAACTTGAAGCAACAGCAGGAAATAGAGCGAGTGATCAGATGGGTGAAGGATGAAGACACAGATGAACTTGTACGAGATCATGCATCAAGTGTGGTAGAGGGATTGGAGACATTGAGAATGAAGGAGCTGCATAGAATGCGAGAACAGGGATTAAATCTCGATGGAAATCTTGGGCTGGAAGGTAACCTAAGAGGACTTGAAATCCAACCAGGGGAAAGCAAGAAGAAAGGACAGAGGATGATGGTCGAGGAGATAGAATAACCCCGAAGGGCTTGAATGATGATGGTATTCTAGACGCTTCGTTTTGGAGGCTGTCTGCTGAGTTGGCCAGCTCGCGCCTACGTCGAGTAGCGCCGTGGTATCTTTTGTTTGTTTGGTGGCCAGAGCACGCTGGCAGCTCAGTCGTGTAGCCGCATGTATCATAAGCTCGCCCGTCCAAGGCCAGGATGCTCCCGGGTGAGCGCCCACTGGTGTCGCCAGTTCAAGACGTGGCGCGCATCGTGTCGTCGTTTGTTTGGCAGTCTCAGCCACTCATTGCCGTGTCTTTGCCGGTCTTTGGTTCCACCTCTTCGGCCTTGCCAATCCAGAGCACGTTGTTGCACCGTATAAGCACCTGCCCAAGCGTGCCTGAGCTGACGCCGTTTACGAATTCCTCCGTATTGGACAACTGGATGTTCATGTACAAGTCGACCGAGACCAGTCTGCCCTTGTACTCGGTCTCGCCCCACTTCAAGCGAACAACAATGTCCTTGTCGACTCTGCAGTGGGTCAGTTCGAGTCTTGGGTAGGTCACGGTAAAGGAGGGCTTCTCAGCAAAGGCACGACGTACAAGCTCTGGAGGAGAGGTCGGGGGTTGAAAGGTGCGACTGCCTGTAAGCCATTAGCCATGCGCAACAGTGTGGGAGACTCAGGGAGCGCATACCGCCATGTCTGCGACTCAGGTAGAAGCGTTTGCGGGGCGGAGAAAGGCGGGAAGGTGAGAGAATGCGACGCCGAGGTCGATTGGTGGTGAGGTGTTGGGTGGGAGTGTATGCAGCACTGGTCGCGCTCTGCAGCTTAGGAAAGTTGTCGGCAAAAGGTAACGCCGATTGGTCAGGCCTCTCACCGCGGGGAAGGCACCGAATGGGCTTGGGGCCCTCGTGTACTTACAGTGATCCATGTAGCAAGTATGCAGTCGACGGTGCAAAGACACAGCTGTGAGCCTCTCAGCATGCGTGACAAGAGCAGCATCTGTCAAGAGCAGCTGCTTCGCTACGTGTATCCATTTCTGCAGACACCGCCTGCATCTGTCTTGTCTTGTCTTGTCTTGTCCTGTCCTGTCCTGCGTGTTTCCTTGCCGCATCCCGGTCAGACTGCAGAGCCGCAAACTAGTCGCGGGTGCGCTAAGATTTTATCGTCATGTTCCCATCGTCCCACAGCCTTCTCCCACTCAGCAAACCCGCCATTGCATCCTCAACCCACGACTGCGCCCGCTCTCCCACGCCTTGTTCGCATCCCATAGCCATCCCCCCTCAATTGCACCATTGCGCCTACCACCGTGCGTCGTCTCGCCCTCCTACCCGCGACTTGCTCTCTCGTCGCCCCTCCGCTCTTCGCACAGCATGCTCCGGTAGCAATGCTAGCAATTTGGTCCCGGGCAACAGTGAACCCGGGATCCTGTAGGTGCATGTCATGCCTTTCCAACACAGTCATCCGCGCACGCACAAACAGTCCAGCGCCCTTGCGTCGCTCGTGGCCCACACCCGGAACACCCACCTCGACTTTCGTATACACGGCCATTTTTGCTGCAGGACTGACTGCTGATACAAAGGCCAAAGCAGCCAGGAACAGACAATGGGAGCAGGCATTCGACAAATTGAACGAGCCCATCGATGCTCAGAGTCTAGGCGACGGAGACACGAGGCCAAACGTGACGAGTGCTTGCTCCTACGACCATCCTGAAAACCGTGGCTTGTCATTAGACGATCTCCCTCAAGATCTTGACTGGGCTGCTGTGCAGAGGACTATAGGTATGGACCTTGTCGAAGATCAAGTCTTGCAGACGCAAGAGGTTGAGTCACAGATTCGCGATTATGCAGACATGGCATGGGATGAATTACGCTTTGATTCGAGATTTCCCGGCGTCCAGCTGCTCGAATGGCCAGCGAATACCGGCCCGGATCTCGTGCGCTACAACCTTCCTCCTCAGTCACTGTGGGCGCCAGATGCCTTGCGTCTTCAAGCCATACGGAGACGGCATACTCGGAAGAAGTTGGCCATACAGGAGCTTTCCACTGCCTTTCTTATCCATGAACTGCTACACCAAGCTAGTGTTTTCCGCTTTCTGAACACTGCAAGTGACGAATTGAACAAGCTCGCACCACAGATCCTAAAAGTTGTTTGCATGACCGAAGATGAGCGCAAAGAAGCACGTTCAGAGATTCTAGAGGCACTTGAGAAACTGTACAAGACTCGTGTAGATAGTCCAGCCGAGGACTTTGCAACTGCCCGCATCCGGGCCAATCCCCTCGCAATTCCGAGCTATCACCAGGATGCCGATGGCGACTTTTATGGCATTACAAAGCAGTTGAATGACGGTCTCAAAGCCTTGCTTCGCGAAACACCCCGCGGCAACGATCGGAAGGCGGCCCTCGCGGTCGCAAGAATATGCCACAATCTCCTCATCTCCTCCGCTTCTCCGGATCTGCAGACATTCAATACCCTACTCGTAGGCTTCAGACGCTGGCGTCGCCGGGAGCTGGTCGACCGCGTCATACCTGCACTTTACGCCAACAAGATACGGCCCAATGAAATCACCTGTCGCGAGATTCTGGATCATTACGCGCTAGGAGGGCAATCAGCAGCTGCCAGCTTCTCGCGCTTTGTGGCCAAGATGAGGGGCTTGGAAGATGCGCTCATGCTTGCAAATCCAGACATCAGCATTAATGAGGCCAGCCAAGATCGCCTTATCCGCGTTAGCCCAGAAAAGGTTCTTCAAAAGATTCACCCGACACCCATGGTGTTTGGTGCGCTCATAGGTGGCGTCATCAAGTTTGCTGGTTTTGATCGAGCTCTAGACATCTATTACGAGATGAAGGCGGATGGTTGGGGTCTCGATGTGCGAGGCCTGACCAGATTGTTAGGCGATTGTGTGCGACGAGCTGACTGGGAAGGTGGCCTATACGTATGGGAAGAGATCAACGGTATCAAGACACGCGTGAAGCATCACGATATGGCTAAAGCATACAGCCACATGCTCAGCTTGTGTTCCGTCACTGGCAACACCGTTGCCTTCAATCAAATCTTGAACGATCTAGCCAGGGGAGGGTTTGATCGCAAGCTCATCATTGATGCGGCTACACGGACGACGAGCTTAGCAAAGCGCAAGAACGAATACCTGGCCCCGGCTTGGGTTGCCGATAATGTCATGATTGCTGTGTCGCAATATGTCCAGGACGCCAAACCCTCTGGGCCGGAGGTCGCGCCAGATGTGATCGATACTGATGACGCAGCGCTCTCCCAGGACGAGTTTGACCTTTTTGGAGATATTGAGCATAATACGGCCGATACCAGAGACGCATGGGCATCTTGGGTCGAACATGAGTTCGGCGTGAGGCCAAAAGAGCCAGAGCCATGAGATTTCTATGGCTCTCTGTACATTAAATGTGTTTATACTACTGTGCATATCAGAGCATTGGGCCGGCGTTTTTATGGTGGCTCTGAGCATGTACGCGTCAATGTGAACTATGGTTGTTTCTCTCTTCAAAAGGTCGTCCATTTCCTTAGCCCCGCAATCAGCGAATACATCCCGAAATTTGCTCGCATGGCGAGCAATGCTGCTCCCGTAACTTGATGATGGTGGCGAACCGAATAAACGTTTGCGGATACCATCCCGCAGATGTCACCCGATTGCTATCTTGCCGAGGACATGCCTGTCCCTCATTGTTTATTTAGATTACCCGCGCTGCACCACAATCTACAGTCCCAATTCCACAGATTCATCACCGAGGAAAGGAACACGTAGTGAACATGGCCAAGGCTTTGCATCAGTGAGGAATAACTTGGGAGTGCTATTATTGATCCTATTGGATCAACGTACTCTGCCGCTATTATCACAAGGTCGCCCATAACGCATGGCTGACACTCGAGCACCAAGCTTTCTAAAACCCCTTGGCATACTATCGTATCCGAAATCAACGACTCGACGTTCAGCCGAAGCTATCGAAAGTCTTGCGTCAAGTCACGTCTCTCTTACAACATTGGCTTCGCCCACGCACCAATGGGCACAGATGTTCGCTTAACTAGATCGCGCAGATGCAATCTAATCAGGTGCGTCTGCAGCCAAGGACAGCTGAACATGTACTACAAGGAGACTATGTCAGTCACACTGATAGTAAACTGGGATTATTGGTCTTGGCCAGTGCGCACCACTCCCACAGCCGTTATACAGCAAGGTGTTCCTTTCCCCGGATTTTCTTGCTATCTTTGGATCTAGACCTCTCGGTGTTTCCCTGCATATCACCACGCATCCTGCTGAACGGGAATGTAATCGCCCCATGGAGCTCGTATCCCTTGAGGCAATCCGAGCCCAGCATTTCGGAATGCGTCAATATTCTTTTTGCTTCCAGAACGGCTCGGCATCAGGATCTAATTTGTACCCAAGACATTTTCAAATCTAAAGATCAGCCCCCTTTGAATGTCAAGGAACACGACAGATGGTGTGTGTACCAAGACAATTCTGCTCTACAGCCGGAGGAGCGATACCTCTTCGCAACATGACGGCAATAGATGAAGAAGCAACATTTTGCGCCATTGTTCATGCCGGAGAGCGGTTTGCACTAGCAGTATTGAATGAGAGCCGTTTGCCGCCAGATGCACAGGTTGAGGCATGGATTGGCTACAACGAAGCTGAAAGGTTGGAAGTTAGCGCAGTGAAACGGCTGTGTAGCGTCAAAAGGAATACCACCTTGGAGATACATCGGGTTGCGAAATCACTGCACGACGTGTCACTTGGGAGTCGACGCTGCTGCATCCATCCCTACCGCATGCACGTTTAGGGGGTTTAGGCATTCGAGGGTACCTTGCGAGCCATGCAGACACAATGTGGCACGGCGATACCGAATGGTCCGATATTACAGGAAGATTGTCTTAGACAGGCAAGGGTCGAGAAGAACATGTACACTGTCGTCTTCGGAAGCTCTTTTGCTTATAATCGTTATACTCCAGGTACAAGCCGGGGCCTATCAACGTCAAACCTTTGGTGTACGAGGAAGAGCGAGTAATTTCATTCGGAACCTCGGATCTCACATCATGCAGCAGCAGAGTTTGGCGCCCAATATGTGTGGCTGTCAAACTATGGCTGAACAGGTCCCGTGTCTCTCTGTCGCGCTAGCCCAAACACGGAAGGATAGAGTACTTTACCCAAATTGCAAGCATCTCGTATCTATGGCCTCGAACACAGCAGTCACCTCACCTGCCCCACCTGGTCAAGTACTACACGCTGCGCTATAACGAGGGATGGGCAAAGTTTGGTTCAGACCATGTGCATAAATTGCGTCCGATGTTTCTGCTGCAATCACTTGCCACTCACGAGCGTCAATCTGATATATTCATATAAAACCAGTACCGGCCACTGACAAGATCTTACTTTTTTTTCTTCCCTTTTCTTTGCAATCGGACAGGGACATTTATTCGATTTCGACTTCACTGTTCGTTTGAACCATCAACCCAACAAGAAGGCAGAAAGTCAAGCGAAAAGAAAGACAGGAAAAGGGAAAAGGAAAAGATGCAGTACCGACTGGTTTCTATGTTCGCCGCAGGTGCACTGGTGGCTATGAGCAGCGCTGCGCCTGTCCCATCACCTGATGTACGTATTCATCCAGGCAAAGAAGCCTTTTGTTTCGCCTTCACAGTCACTGACCAAGACCAGAACCTGTCCATCACCAACCCCCCAAACACCATTGAACTCGGCAAGCCCTCATCAGAAATCTCCTGGGGCACGAGCATCGACACCGAAGTCACCAACCCCGACGACATCGTCCTCACGCCGCCCAATTCGGAAATCATCTGGAGCAAGGAGAAGAAGGCACGCGGTGTCGAGTTTGAAAAGCCAAAGGATAGCTTCAACCTGGGCAACGCAAGCACGGTTGTCACGTGGGGCAAGCGCGATTCCACCACTGGTGTTACACCCGAGGATACTATTGAGCTGGGCGAGCCTAGCACTGAGATCACGTGGAGTAAGGAGAAGCGTGACGAGCTTGTCACGCCAGATGATAGCATCAGTCTTGGTAAGCCATCGACAGTCGTGACGTGGTCTTGAAGTGAGAAGGAGTAAGGGTGGCGGTGGAAGACGATGTCTTGAAGCTCATTATCAGTTGTGTATATGGTTCTGTTTGGCGGGTAGTAGTTTTTTTTTCCATTGTGGTTAGAATAGTATGTAGTTTCATAGGATATACTTTTTTTTTTGATTGTTCATAGCTTTCGAATGAGGACGTGGTTGATAAGTCATGTGCATGATGAAGCGTACATGTGATGCAGTTATGTGATGACGCTCTAGTGTCTTGGTGATAAGAGTGCGAGACCCTTTTTCTGGCGTTAAAAGTGCAAGAGACACAACATGGAGTTACTCATTTTTTATTGGCTTTTCTTGAAAAGTTCTATACAATGCCATCCCTCCATCACGCAAGTATAACATTAATTTGAAGAATGCATCTTCCACCTTTCTACAAAAACAAACACTGACGTAATCTATTTCTACATATAAGGTGAAGTGAACAAAGCGATCCCACAATCAAATACTGATCAACCCTTGCGATACCAGTTTTCCTTGGGATCCTGCATGCACTCGCCCATGGTGACTGCGCGAAGGCCCTTGCCGTAGAGGTAATCTAACATGTAGCCCGTAAGGCTTTCAGCAGTGAGCTGATGAATATCATGTGCAATGGCCAGCCTGTGATCGCTGCGCGTGTCGATGCCTTGCTTGAAGTTGTTCTTTGAAGTCTGCATCTTCTCAGGCGTAAGGTTGTTATAGTCTGTTTGAGTTAGAAATCACTTTTTCATGCAACAAGAGAGTACAACAAAACTTACCATCAGTGTTGAGATCAAAGTAAGATATAACATAGCCTAGCTCAGCCATGATTTCTTGACACTGCCCATTGCACGAGGAATAAGGCGGACGCATATAGGTAGGAAAGCGGCCAATGATGTTGCGAATTGCCATTTCGTTCTTGACCATCTGATCATAGACCTGTTCCTTGCTGATAGCCGAGAGATCCTGGTGGCTCCATGTGTGCGACGCGACTTGGTGTCCGTTGTTGTACATCTTCTGCACAACGCCAGCCCACTGTTGATCAATGGCGCCCTTGCCAAGATTGTTGCCAGTAACGAAGAAAGTAGCACGCCCTCCCCTTTTCTCAAACTGCTGCATGATGGATTCGGTGTAGACAAAAGGTCCATCGTCGTATGTTATGGCTACTGTGCCGGGATTTTTGCAGGCGTAGATGCCTCCACCACCGTAGGGAACGCTACCAAGTTTTGGCCGGGGAACGTTGCGTGTGCTTGCGCCAGATGGGGTCTTGTTGGCGTCGCATCCAGGGCCATAGTTGAACAAACAGTCGGGTGCTTTGCAATGATCTTTTGTAGTTCCACAGTAGCCGGCTGCTGAGCAGCAATCGTTTCCGGCACATTTTTGATTGCCGTTTGCCGGACCACAGCGTTCGACTTCTTGCCTTGGGCCAAGGACAGGCGCAGAATGGGCAGGATAGAGGGTTTGGAGGCGAGCAAAAGGGTTTCTAGCGCGTAGTTCTTTTGGCATACCAAAGGTCTTGGGCATGCCTTCCATGCCTGTTCCATGAGCAGCGGCGAATTGCCCAGCCAATGAGGCGGCGACAATGTGTGAGAAACGCATCTTGTCGGACTAAGGGTTTCAAATGCAAAATTGCTTTTAGCCGGGTACGACAAAAAAGTAAAAAGAAGTAGATTTGCAGATGAATGATTGCTCAGGGCGAGGGTTAGAAGAGTAAACGGTCTGGTTGCGTGTAGAAAGGAGGCAGGAGGACAGGGGGGTCATCTTATGTAGAAGAGAAAAGGATATGGGATGTGCATGAACACTGATGATAGTGGCGCTGCTTGAGGGGCGGATTTCAGGTTACCCGTAAGCAGTGGAGTAGGTGCTGTTGAGGATCAAGACAGCTCGCCCTAGCCAGATCTTGGCCCAGGGATGATGATGAGTTGCATGTGCTCATTCAACAATCGGACAGCGGTTTGCATCTTTGTTTTTTTTTTTGAGTCAAGTTCTTGATAGTGTGTAGAGTACGAGTTGGTATAACGGGATGAGATGTGCTCATGGTACATGTGCTTGGAGTGAACTGTTGTCAGCAGCCAAGACGACTAGTGTTGGTGGTGATGTGTCGTCATGATGGATCGACCAAGCACTCTACTAGATGCCGACAAGTGGGTAGTATGCATGTTGACGATCAAATTGGCGCTGTGAGCTGTCGTTGTATGGCAGCCAACCAAGCTATTGTTTGCGCGTTGACTGGTTGTAGGAGTAGTGTAAGATTTTTTTTAGAACAAAAAGAAGATGTTAGCAGGATATTTAATCGAAGGAGTATCCTAAGGAAGAAGTTGAGAGACGAAAGGTGTGGTACGGAAGTAAATAGTATGAGAATTGGGTAGTTGAACCATGGTGCGCGTACAGTGGGTATGTATGTAGACGTGGTACATATGTATGTGCTGCAGTATGTAAGTACTGACGGCGACAAGGCCATCGAGCATGGGCGGCAAAAGGCAGGACTGGACAGAGGTCCGAACAGCGATGAGCTATTGGATGGCATGCATCCGTCTGACTGCCTGTGCGCCATATTGGACGTGCAGAAGAAACGTGATTGGGCGAGCGCACCCCAGACAGCGCCAACGCGCCAAAATGTAATCGTGGGTAGATTTGCGCGTGTATGAGTAGATATAGATCTTGGGTCTGCACCATGGCAGACGTTTGTTTGCCATGTTACTCGACTCGACTCGACTCGACTCCACCACGACCGGCCAAAGACGCTGGCTCGAGTGCTGGCTCGGTGGGCAGCAGCTTGGCGGGAGCTTGGAAGCAATATTGGCCTAGGGGCTCAGGATGCTATTTCGGGCGTGGAACTCGCATTGGCGTGTGCCAGAGGCCGAGTGGAGCACAAGGGGGTGCGGGACTGTGGCTGGTGAGTTTCCCAAAAGGATCCTGTCCTATAACCTTTTGTTTTAACTAGACTCGACAAACTCTCGGACTGTTGTTGTTGTTGTTGTTGGCATTGTACGTGGATATACGAGTTTTGCCGACAAGACTACGCCTCTTGGACTTAGCCATAGCTCAGAAGCCATGGCCAAACCCGGCGAGCGGACTGGCGCGGAAGGGAAACAAATCGCCAGTTGAATCAACCACGCTAACCAACCGTACACTGAAACGAGCGCTCCGTTTACATTAATAAAGCGCGTTCTAAGCATGTAGGCGTTGCCAGAAACAGGCTAAGCAAGGCCGGCGAGGGGCGCGTGTGCGTCCGGATCCGTTGAACCCCTCGTTCCAAACCACACGCCTCGAACGAATCCATGCTGGTTGCCGGCGTGCAACGGAAGACGACGGTAGTGGAAAAGAGAATTATTCAGTGTTTGCCCTTCTCTTTCATTGACCTTTGTGGCTGGCTCGCTTCTTCATCGTTATCGTTATCGTCATCGCCACCGTCGCCGTCGTCGTCGTCTCCGCCGTCATCTCGTCGAAGCGTGTGATGGTGTTGTTAGTGGTGGTGGTGGTAGTGGTTTGGTAGCTGCGCCTCATGGTGTCGTGATTTGAGGGGAAAGTCAGACACACACTCACATGCACACAAAAACACAGCGTAGCCCTGTCCAGCCTGGCGGGTGGCGCTTGCGAGGCTCCACTGCTCCTCTCTCCCTTGCCCGTTTGATCAATCCTCCATATAATATTAGCACCTCAACCCCGACTCATCGTCCCGCTTTGTTCGTGGGCCACTCTCTCTGCATCCTCGCCGTCGCCGCCGTCAAGTATTCTTCTCTGCGGCACCACAGTTATTCGAGCAACCCGTCCATCTTTCTTGACTTTTTCCATTCTCGGTATATTCTTCACTGACGGCCATTCACTTCTCTGCTGCCTCTACCCTAATTTCCTATTCCTTTGTCCATCCATTACCTGGCTGTGCTTCATCTCCACACACACAAAGTACCTCTTTTATCTTCATCTACGCCTCTATAGAAACCAAAGTATCGTATTCACTCTCTCTCGCCATGTCTCGTTTCCCACCCCTTGGAGCCCTGCTCCTTCCGCTAACCGCTCTGCTCGTCTCGCCCACTCACGCCACCAGCCCCTACACCAGCAGCATGAGCGAAACGCCAAAAGACAACAATGCAGACTGTGACTGCTACATGGTTCAGTCCGGTGCTGAGGCCAAGAATCCATCCTATTTTCAATACTACCGTTTCTACGACTTTCGCAACCTACCCGGCGCCCTTGACAAGTCACCACCAGCAATCAACCAGTCGCAAAACGCTGCACAACTAGCAACATGGCAGCCCGACTTATTCAACAGCGATGCCTGGAACTTTGACTGGGGCATCCAAAACTGGAGCAAAGATGCCACCTCTGACTTTCCCGTCCCACTAACCAACTCGCCTGCAAACATCTATCTCGGATCCGAGCAAGACATATCGTACCTGGCGATGCGCACCACGCGCGTGTCGTCGCACCAAACAGCAGCGGAGATGGAGAATCAGCAAAAGAACCTGATGCATGCCTCTCTGCGCATGTACGGGCGCGTGCAGGGCTCCTCGGGCGCAGTCGCAGGCTTCTTCACCTATTTCGACGACACCAACGAGTCTGACATTGAGATTCTGACCCAAGACCCAAAGGACAAGATCCGCTACACCAACCAGCCATCCGTGGATAAAGGAGGTAACGAGATTGCCGCCGCGTCCCTCGACCCGACCAACTTGCCGCGATGGGACGACTGGCATACGCACCGTATCGACTGGCTGCCCAAGCAGAGCTACTGGTTCCTTGACGGGGACCAGGTGGCCCAGAATACCTACTCGGTGCCTCGCAAGCCCAGCTACCTCGTCCTCAACATGTGGAGCGACGGTGGGGAGTGGAGCGGTAACATGAGCGTGGGCGACAGTGCAGAGTTGCACATCCAGTGGATTGACATAGCCTTCAACACCAGTGGGCCGTACGAGGGCGAGCAGCAGCCGGACGACAACAAGAGAAGTGTAAAGAGAAAGGAACATAGCTGCAAGACCGTGTGCAGGATTGACGGCGTCAAACAAGTAGGCACCCCGGAGGTCGCCTATGTGGGCAGTGCAGTCGCCTCCACTGTATCGTGGAGTCTAATGGTGGGAGTCGTGGGTGCTGTGTCTGTTTTCATTAGTATGTAACAACAAGAACAACACGATGAAGAAAAGGGAGACCACCGTCACCCAAGACCAACTCTTTGAAATGTATCAGATTCATATACACCCTTCTGCGACTCGACTCATCCAGAAAAATATATCAAAAATGCATGCGCACCCTTGTAAACTACCCTTTCAAAAACACAATCATCCATTTCCAATATCGTACAATACACGCCATACACAGCATCACACAGAGTGAGCCATGTCTTCAGTTTCTCTCAACCAGCCTCCGGGGTATTCAACGGCTTCTCCTCGTCCATTCGTTGCGGCGAAATAAAAACAAAAAGAAAGGGTGGCAACAAGGCCAGCGGATATGGGTATATATACATTGACATGCTCTCATGTCAATCCCCCTCATTCCTCCGCCATCATGTTATTTGTTATCGTCGTCATCGTCGTCGTCTATCTCGTTTTCATATGCGATTCTCTCGTCCTTATCTTCTATTGAAAACCCCCCTCGCCCCCTGTTTCTTACAAGAAATATTCACCTCGGCCTCCACGGCCTGCAGGCACCGCACGCTTGTGATCGGGAACGGCCGAAAATATCTGGAATTCGGGTTTGAGGTCTTCCCCAAGGTTCATGATGGAGGCAACGTTGCCGCAGCGGTAACAGTAGTTTGGCGCCGACCAGACAGTCACAACATCCTTGTCTTTGAAGTGGTATTTGTAGCCCTCGTTGACTAGCTGATGAGCTCGCGCAATGAGCTGCAGGCCGTTGACGTGGTTGAACTGGGCAATGATTAGCTTGTGCACGATTCCCAAAAAGTCACGTGTCCATGATACCTCAGAAGAGACCTTGTCTCCAAATAGCCAGCCTGCACCTCGAGGAGAGACTGCCCACGTGTCAACCTCTTCGGGATCACTCCACACAAGATCGCAAAAGGCACCCTCGTGGGGGATTTCTTGGGCGCGGGCGACAACACGGATCTGGTCCAGTGTTCGAATCTCTGGGCTCAGTCCGCCATGAACGCAGAGGACTTTGCCGTCGACAATGGCAGCGAGGGCCAGGAAGTCAAAGACTTGACAGCAAGCCTTCCATACCGAGGCATTACCATACTTGGTCTGACACTCTTCGTAGAAGCCGTAGACTTGAGTGATTTGCCTGGATTCGTGGTTTCCGCGTACTAGCGTCACGCGATCTGGGAATCTGGGGCGGCGAGGTCAGCATGGCCATGCGTCATGGTTTCTTGTTGGGCGGGCTTACTTTGCCTTGAGGCACATGAGAAGGGTAAACGTCTCGAGGCTAAAGTAGCCGCGGTCAACAAAGTCGCCGAGGAAGATGAAGTTTTGCTGGCCGTTTCCGCCGACCGTGTTCTTGTTCGAGTCGGCGTCCGAGGCGGAGCCAAAGCTGCGGCGGTCGTTGACGCTCCGGCTGCGGCCGCGCTCTTCCTCGTCGTCGTCATCGGCATCCTCGTCGCCGTCGCCGCCGGGAGGGCTGGCGGGGCCCGTGTAGTTTGGGTCGCGCTGGAACCTGCGCTTCATCTTGCGCTTTACTTTTGGGTCTGTGATGCTGGTGGGGGGCTCGAGGTCGGCCGGGTTGATTGTGCTGGGGATGGTGACTGGCTGGGTGAGGGGCGCCGTGGGCGTGTCGCTGGGCATGCCGCCGGCGACGCGGAAGAGCTCGAGGAGGTCGTAGAACTGGCCGTGGATGTCGCCGCATACCGTGACGGGGGTGCGGACGGGCTGGATGTTTGACTCTGGGAAGGGACGGCGTGTTAATGGTATGGAGGACGAGGCGCGGCCGCGGCGTATTCACCTTCCATCAGGCACTCCTTGACAATCTCGCAGAGGCGCTTCATGTCGGCCTCGGGCAGGTACTTGCATTGCTTGGCCTGCTCGAGCCATTCATCGGGGCCCGCGCCCTTTGCCAGGCGGGCAGGGCCCGGCTGGGGGACGTCGTGGTCTTTGCCCATGGCGGGGTAGCGAGAGAGGGAGCGTGTGTGTGTGTATGTGTGTATATATGGGGGCTGTAGATGTGTGCGGGTGTGTGGCGGATGGGTAGGCGAGGGAGCGTGGGTGTGGATATATGGATAGAGTAGGTGGTGTGTGGGTGTGTGGGTGAATGTACTACGTAGGGCAGGGCAGAGGTTCGGGCTCGGGGGCTCGGGGCATGCGTGCGTGGGGCTGATGGGAGACGATGGGGGGAAGGAGCGGCCGGGCGGGCGGCTCTGCGCTTGCCCTCCAAGCCTGGCGCCGCCGCTGCCTCAACATCGACAAGACTGGACTGCAGCCGCCGCCCAGTGCTACGGCCCACGACACCCACCCATCCCGACTGCTACCCACGCATACACCAAGACAGCCGCCACTGCTGCTGCCACTGCCATTCACTGCCACCGTCCTTCTTGCCCATTCGACACCCAATGTCCGCTCGCACCACCCGCCCCTCTCCCCTCCTCCACTACCACGACCGCCATCACCACCTCGCTCCTCCACCCCCACAGCCACCACACTCACCATAGGCCCCCTCCATCTCTGCAATTCCCCAGACTCCCCCCAGGCAGTCCCAAGCACTGCCATGGCCCCTCCGCCACCCCCCAGCGCCGGCGTGCTGCCCGTCGCCCTGCTTCAGAAATCACAGACAGCCCATACGCCCCGCGGCCAGAAGCCCCCGCAGCCTCGCCTCAAGCTCATCTGTCGCCGTCTGCCCCCGGGCCTGGCCAAGCACGAGTTTGCCCAGGTCCTGGGCGACGACTGGAAGCTGGGCGCCGGCAGGATCGATTGGCTCAGCTACCGCAAGGGCAAAATCTCCACCGACGCTGCAAAGCCCTCGAAGCCAGCCCGCGCCTACCTGCACGTCACCAAGCCCGAACACGTAAAAGCCCTCGGCGACCATGTCCGCACCCTTTCCTTCCACGACGCTGCAAAGTCGTGGCAAGACCCCGTCCTCGTCGGCCCCCCTACGCTCGAGTATGCTCCCTATCCCAAGATGCCTGGTGGCCGCCGTCGCAACGACAACCGCCAGGGCACCATCGATCAGGACCAGGAGTTCAAGGACTTTCTCGAAAGCCTCACCAACCCCATCACCAAACCCCCTGCCCCAGAAAGCGAAGCCCCCAAGGACAAGGTCAAGACGACGCCACTGATCGAGGCACTCCGGGAGAAAAAGGCAAATAGGGACAAGCCAAATGCAAAGCCCAACCGACAGGCTCGAGCAGAGGCCAAGGAGGATGCCGCAGAGCGCGCCGAAAAGAAGATTCTGACAAAGTCGACAAAGGAGAATGCCCCTACCGCGTCCGACAAGACCCGCCGTTCGAACAAGGCCGAAAAAGCCCAAGCCACCAAGGATGCCGTCAAGATACTTAACAAGGAAGCTGCCTCTTCCAAGACATCTGCTGCTGCCACCCCGGCCGACAAGGCGTCTGCAAATCCAGCCCCAGAGCGCAAGCGCGGAAACGTCGCACTTGCAAAGTCGATGCTTCAGCGCGACCTTGGAGTGGCGCCTGCCCCCAACCGTCGTCGTGGCACCAAGCGTGAGGTTACGTCAGCCACACCCGACGCTGCTCCCCCAGTCAAGGAAGCAAAGCCATCCGACGACAAAGCCAAGGACGCTGCCGCTACTCCTCCAGCTGTATCCGCTACCCCAGACAAGTCTGCCCACCCAAACAGGAAGGAACGCCCTACTCGTGCCGAACGACGTGCGTTCAAGGCCAATCAGGGCGACAAGGCTAATGACAAGGCTACGCCTGCCGAAGCCAAGTCACAAACGCCAGCAAAGACACCCGCTCCCCAGATCCTGAAGAAGGCTCAGCCCGCTCAGTCGCAAACAACACCAAAAGGTCCAGCCGCCTCACGAGCCCCACCATCGGAGCCTGCTGCTGCTGCTGCTAGAAACAGCCCTGCCTCATCGCATCCGCAGACTCCTCCCGCAAAGGCAGACAGTACCCCGACCCCTGCTGCCAACAATATCTCAAAAGCTGCCCCGACACAGTCTGCCCCCGCACCCACAAGTAAACAAGCCTTTCTCAAGCATGCCAACCCCAGCCAGGGTATCACCGAGCCCCTCATCGAAGAAGCCATGAAGCTCTTTGGCGCCATTGAAAAGGTCGAAATTGACAAGCGCAAGGGCTTCGCCTACGTCGACTTTACTGAGCCTCAAGGTCTTCAAAAGGCCATGGCTGCGAGCCCAATCAAGATTGCTCAGGGCGCTGTCCAGGTACTCGAGCGAAAGGAAAAGGTGGCCAGGAATTCTCGCTTCAATGGCCCCACTCCACCAGGCCCTGCTCGTGGCGGAGGTCGCGCCAACTTTGCTCCCCGTGGAGGGCGGGGTGGCCGTGGAGCCGCCAGAGGTGGAGGTCAGGCTAACACCAATCCTGCTCCGAGTGCTGGTGATTCTGCCTCTACCGTGGCTCCACCTGGCCCTGCCCCCGTCGCAACATGAAGAGAGTTGTTATTCCTCTTGTGTTGGAAGCAAACAGCGACGCTGGCTGTCGCACAACGACCATTGAGAACGTAACATGATCAGCGTTTATGGTTACAGAAACCCACAATCTTACCACAGCAGAAGAATACAACATCACTCTTCAATCTTCTGGCACAGCCGCCCGTCATCGATACCAGCCACGTCAACATGTCTGACTTAGCCAAGAGCATCACCATGTAGTCGCACACAACACACATCATCATGCAACAAATGTGTATAAGCTGAGCATGGATTTCTACCACTAATCATTGAACCTCGATAAGACAAGTGGAGATAGCGTCTAAAGAAGTAATTACTATAGATATGATTGATGAAGCCTTGTATCCGCTTGTCTATCCCAAAGAGAATTCAGAGTAATCACATCAAGCCAAACTCAGCTTTCCCCACCTTCTGGCTTAGTGCTCCTATGCTATGAACTTCTTGGTCAACTTTTCCATCATTTGTGCGTGAGCCACCTGTCTGGCACGGGGAACCGTGGACTTGGGGATAAGATGAGAGCAGTCCTGGAGACTCTGTGGGTCGTTGCCAATGACCGCGAACCGGCTCCATGCACTTATAAAAGCATCGGCCCACATCGCTGTCGACTTTGCGTAGACGGCCCATGGTCTATAAGTCTATGATTTAATACCGGTTAGCTGCTTGTCATTTTTCAAACGTATTGATCACATGCAGAATACTTACCTCGGGTGCGCTGGACATGAGACGGTCACTCCTAAGACTATAAGGCGCAGTACCGGCCTTCGTCTCTGCGAAATACCTAATGTCACATATAGCTGGCGTCGAGTCGAGTGGTGTGCCAGCTCTCGCGGGATCATCTTGGAACTGGATCGCAATGCTGTGGGTTCCAAGTAGCGCAACCACGTCTTGAGGGCTGAAGCCCTTAGCTGCGAACCTTGCCAAGATGCTTTGGACAGAATCAGAGCTCCTCGGTAGGCCATTTGGTGGTGCAGCTGCCGCGCTGTCCTTTCTGCCCACAAGCGCCGTAACCTGGGGGCCGAGCGGGCATGCTGAGAGTGCCATTGCACCGGCAAATTGGACTATGTCAGCAGCACCAACACGGTACTGAAGGCGCTTCTGGTTGATTGTATGGCAGTAGTCTTTCAGTCCTTGGTTCTCGATCCGTGAGCATTCTTGCTGGGAAAGGATCAAGCTGCCGTTGCAGCCGTCAGGCAAACAGTCGTGGAGCACAGCGCGAACGGCTGAGCGAGCTGCTTTATTGCAACCCTGGAAGAGATTCTCGAGGTCTTTAGCTACGCTTTGCCAAACAGCAGGGCAGGCGCCCGCGCGAGGCGAGAGGTCCACGGCGGAGATGGGCGTCACCGCAAGGGCAAAGAGGGTGATGGCTGAAGGACGCATTGTGGCTAAAAGTCAGAATTTGTTGAATAATGTATGAAGAAATGTTGTGCCGTTTGGACTGATTTGTAGGAGGAAAGGAGTGCAAAGCAGAGTGAACGAGAGAGAGAGAGAGAGTCTGAAGAGAATGTATATTTACAAAAAGATGTTGCGAACTGCTGTGGTTCTTCTTTATTTTTTTCGAGGTTGAAGCTCGATACTTGTAGTCACCAACACCCCCGTCCGTTGTCCCTCAAATCGAATGGTCAAAAACGTTAATTATGAACAACAAGCCCGAATAGGTTCAGGTCAGGTCGAGAGAGATACAAGCCGCTACATCACTACGAACTCATTTTCGCAATGATAATAGTTAACCTTTTTTTGGTTTCTTGCTCCTCACCAAAAAAGTAGTCCTACGCTCACCCGTCTTACTGTGTAGACGTGTGGAATGACCCCGCCAGCCCACTTGACTTGATCCAAGTATACCATCTAGTCATCAAGTGTAATTAAACCAACCTCTTCGCACCACTTACAAAAGGACCGTCGCTAATTGGATCCTGCAAAAGTTGTACCTTTGACGAACTGTCCAGGTGCATGTCGCAAGGGGCGGGAGAGCTTACATGATATTGATAGCGCTGGTAGTGGGTTACTAATTTTGTGATTTTCGGGCAAGAGTCTGCTGCATGACGTGAGATGGTCATGTATATACGGGACGGAGGCAGCCGTGCCGCATGCCCAGTGAACTAACTGCAGTACAGAGTGTGTGAGATAGGTGTTCATTGTCTCTTCTTGCTTAATCCTTTTTTTTTAAAAAAAAAATCTCCACCATCTCGTGTTTTGTGATTAGGACAGAACAAGATACGAAAATTATCGCTACACTCTTGACATCTCCCATGTCCCAGTCCTTGCACCCACAGACTGAAGACAACAAAGACCACTCAGTATAGCACAACATCAAGTTCGCTTCGCACGCGATCTCTTTCTTCTTCTAAGCGATCAGGCTGCACGCCCAACAATTCCTCTCCACACGTGCACTCTCACCGGTCCGAATGCTAGACTAATTTACACCCACCTTCAAATTTCCACCACTCCAAAACCCAAACGCCATCTTCTGAATTTACTCAGCTATCCCTCTCCCCTGTCTATGTATGTAAGCAAAGCTTGTAGTAGATTTATGGGATTACAGAAGAATTAACTTGTGAGTGATTATACCGTACATCACACCTAATGCACAATGCAAAGAGAGAAGGAAGGAAACATAAACTCTCTCCCCCCCCCCCCCCAACCTCACAGTATCGATCGACACCTGAGATCGAGAGATTGAAACATAAAAATACAGTCAGCTTACCAAACGATCAAGGAAAGCTTAAAAAAAAGATACATGGTTGGCAGTTAGCTCCCGATTCCACGAATCGGAATGTTTTTTTTTCACACGTGATTTGATTTAGAGGGATATATCATATTGAATGTATATACCTACATATGCGAAAAAAAAAAAGGGGGGTTGGGGGGATGGGGGTTTTCTTTTTCGTCGTCGTTGGGTCAGTGCCTTTTTTTGTGAAGCCCTTTGAGACGTGTATATCAAGTAGACGTAGTAATAATTCCTCTGACATGACCTCGATAGATGGAAGAAAGAACACGAAGGGGGGAAAAAAAAAGGCAGAAAACACAAGGAGATAATGTACGCGCCTGGCGGAACATGTAGCAAACTCTGCAGGTTACCGAGCAACTTTTATTTACGGCGGCACAGCAAGGAGACGACGAGGAAAACGGTCAGTCAAGGGGTGCTCTTTTTCAAATGTTTCTTTGAGTTAGGGCCCAATCGGGACTCTCGTCTGTAAGCCTCCCCTTGTTCCGTCACTGAGGCCATGAAATGCACACAAGCTCGGGACAGACATGTCGGCAACGACTTGCGGCATAGGTGGATTGTGATCAGTCCTTGCTGAGCTACAAGTAGCATAATCTCTATGCAACTTGACACAATTATCACAATGAGACATTTGCTTCAACAGAGCAAGACCACTACTGTACCATCAAGTAAGAACAACAATCAGACTTGACACCTGCTGGCACAAGGAATGCGAGAAGAAAAACCTGGCGACAAAGGCCTCGTTAATCACCGACAAGATTCAAAGCACAATATCATGAGAACTGAAACTCATCAAAAAAAAAAGTGCAAATTTCCTTTTCTCCCTAAACTCAAGACTCCCCAACAACTAGACTACCAACTACTTGCTACCTACTACCTACTACAGTACCCCAACTAAACTCGCAAGAAAGAAAGGGTATCAAATCGACACAAAAAACATTTCCCGCCGCGAAGCGTAAATAGTTCTTCTTTTGATATTCTCCAAACATTGATAGAAAAAAAAAAAGGTTGAATACACGAAAGAGAACATAAATACAAAGAACAAAAAGTCAGACACAGCCTCCCGCTAATGACATTCGAGAAAAAAAATAGAAACAAAAAAAAAACAAGAAACAAATGCTATACGCTCAACAAGACATTGCTGGGGAGAACCAAATATGCTTGTGCCATAAACAGGTCAATGATAGTGCAAGAATGCAAATTGGTCATACCGTCGTGTCAATTGTACAATTAAGATGCGTGAAGAAAAAAGGGCCCAATTTCTTGTACCCGGCTCGAAAATTAAATCATGGGGGTTTCGCCACCTTGGTACACACCGGCTTGAAGTGTGTCTGGTGGCATATTGGCGCGGAGCTCCTTGGGATTCCTGTAAAAAGGTTGATTGTTCTCCGAAGGAGCTATGACTTGCTCCATCGGCTGAGGGTGGGGCGGTGGAGGTGGTGGAGGTGGTGGGATTTGGTTCACGTATGAATCGGAATGACTGCCGTCTGCAGGGGGAGAGCGGGCACCTGGACCCCGTGGAAAGGAGAACTCGGGCACACTCTCATAGGGAGATACCTCGGCGCGCGTCATTGGCGGAGACTTTGCGCGTTGAGGCCCGCGACTAGTGCTACGCATGCGTTCAGTGACCCGCTTGAAAGTCATACCAAGATTCTCGCTCACACTACCGCGTCCCCGTCGGTGAGTATGTGGGGAGCTAGAGGCCGAGGGGTTTGTAGGTGACATTTCCATGGGCTTCTCTCCTGGGCTGTTACCCTCAATGGCAATATTGATCATGCCAACACCGCCAATGTTTAGTGGTGGTGGAGGCGGTGGCGGTGGAGTTGCCAAATGCTGAAGCTGAGACAGCAGAGGGGGCGCCGTCTCGTCCGGAGCCAAAACCACAACCTGGCTTTCATGGATGGTCTCAGCAATGCTGGCTGTAATCGGAGGTGGGCTATGACGCTTGTAGTTGGGCGGAGGCAAAACCTCGGGCATTGTATTTTGTCGAGCATGACCGCGGGATCCGCCCAGAGAAGGGCGTCGGCCAACAACTGGGTACGTGGGAGAAACGTACGAGCTAGATGGCAACTGCATATCCTGGGGAGGAGCCGACACTGACCGTTGAGGTGAAATGGGCTGTCCAAACGTCGTTGCAGGAAGAAGAGGACCAATGTCGTCTTCCTGTGCACGTGGAGAACTTTGGGCAAACTGCATATCATTGGGGATACTTGGCACGGCAGGGATGTCCTCTTCATTTGGATCAGCAGTCATGTATCGAGGGTGGCGCATGGCACGTGGATTTGCTGGCAGGCCAATGGGCACAGATGTCGTCGAGGTTGGACCAATCGCAGCTCGATTCGTAGGTGAGTATCTTTTGCTGATCTCTGGGTCCGCAGTTTGGCTTCTCTGGATAGGATCTCGATACATGGACACTGAGCTGAGCATGTCGTCGGTATGTGATCGCTCGTGAGAGACGGGTCGGAAAGCAAGATCGCCAGGGTGTGGAATAATCGGAGCAGAGGGTCGTCGGGCCAGAGACAGCCTACGTTCCTCTAGCTCTCGAGCAGCCAAGGCCTTCTTCGACAAGGCTCCTGAGCGCATGCGTGAAGCGCCTGACCGTCCCGATGTCAGGGATTCGGGAGATGGGTCTCGCGTGTGGGCTCGGGTGCGACTGGACTCCCTCAGCACTGGTGTAGGCTTTCGGCTCATGGATCGGTCGCGTGGTGCATGGCGCTCAGAAGAAGCCTCACGACGGCTGCTTGTGACACCTTCCACAGGGCGACGGCTGCTGCTCCTCTGGCGCGGACGAGCAAGTTCTTGATCAAGGAAAGATTCAGATTCCTCTCGATGCATCGGTTGAGGGGATACAGGCGAATTCTCTCCACGTGTGGCGCTCCGGCCGCGATAATCTGCTGGACGGCGGCTTGACGCTCGGCTGGCACCTTTGCTGCGGGCACGTGTGGCGCCTTCAGGCGATTCTGCGCGTTGTCCCGCTGTCTTGGAAGAGGATCTGGTTTTGCTCGCTCCATGACGCACTCGGCTTCTTGCAGTACGAGTGCTAGCAACTGATTCAGTGACTACAGGAGAAGCAATGCCGATCTTGTAGAACCTCTCGTCATCAAAGTTTTCCGTGTTGGTGCCAGCCTCTTTCTTGGTAGAAGAGTAGATGCCTGCATCTTCTGGAGACATTGGTACAGGCGATGAAGGAGAGCGCTTCGCAGGGTGAATGTAACGCACACCGGAGCGCCCACGGTTCTGTGAGTCCTCACGGTTGCGGCTGCGCGTGCGCGCGGTGCGCGAAGCAGGTCTGTCTTCGTTCCTTGAGTTGGCGCGGTTTTGGGCATAGTGGTTTGCCTCTTCAAGACTGCTGATGTATTGATCAATGCTGCGTGCCTTTGCGCTCTTGATGCTTGCGCCAGTCAACGGAGGACTCAGTCTGTTTGTATAGCCTGTCTCTGGACCTTGCTGTATGACAACAGTCTCCTTCATATCGAGATGGAGATCCTGGATGTTTCTACTCTTGGAGCTGGCACGAGAATCGCTGCTCTTGTCCTTCAAGACTTCGAATACGCCTACCGCTGGAGACGGTAGGTGATCGCTCGACTTTTCGGGGTTGAAGGTTGTTGCAGACAACACGAAATCCTTGGAGCCGCTAGTTGCACGTCGTGTGGAA